TCAGAAAAACCAATATCCCTCCCACTAAATCCACTTGAATTCATCCTCAGGCCTGGTTCTTTCCCCAGGTCTTACCAGGCCGAGCCTTGACTGAGGAAAGAACCCTCTATGGGATGAGACAGCGTTGGCTTCGGACACTCTTGCTGTTCATCTAACTTTCTTAGAAGCCTCCATTTGCTGTGAGGCAACTCTTGGTTCAGATCAGCTCACCCCCTGCCTCATCCATTGTGGCCTTTCCTCCGCTAATCTCCTCCCATGTCAGAGAAGAGCTGCTTTTGAAAGCCATTTCATCTTGTGCTCCTGTCTCCTCGCCCCTGCCAAGGCCTCACTCAACTGTCTCCTCTCTCTGACCTTCAGAACTTATGTGTCCTCGTCCCTCCCAGCCGATACTGTTGATTCGTTCCGTCCTCTTCTGAAAATAGATTTCCCTCGATTCGCCTCCCCCTCCCAAGCGCAGCTCCCTCTGTCCTTCTCATGACGAAGCTCGCCACCTCCTCTTTTCGCTTCCTTTTCTCTCCTCCACACATTGCCATCTGTCATCTGCCTCCAGCTCTCCAGAACACCGGCTCTCAGAAAGGTTACCAGCAGCCTCCTTGCTACCCAGCCCACGGGTGTATTTTTAATTCCTAGCCTTCTGCCGTACTTGGCCTTGCTGCCTGTGCCCCCTGCAGTCACCTTTCACGCCAGCCCTCTTGAGCTTCCTGCTTTTTTCTCAAGCCTTCCTCTGGCACGCATGCCCGGCCGCCTCCCCTAATGTGCATTCTATCCCTGCTTCTGTTCTTTCTTCCTGTTGGCTTTCTCTGGAGTCACTGTGTCTCAAGGCTTAGGCATTGTCTTGGACAACTGACATACTTCAATTCTGCTCTGTCTCCTCTGAACTATTAAACCTTTAAAAAATCCATTTATCTTTCCAAGCTTCTGCTCTCCCTTCTGTGAAATCAAGGGTTAGAGGGAGTATCAGTAAAGATGACTCTTTCGTAGCTGTTGATCCAAGACCGCACAGGGTCAGATCAATAGCCTAGAACTGGTAAATAGTAAGATCAACCCATGGCAGCCACTATTATCCTCTTAGTTTCTTTCACTGCGACCTGAGATTGACCTCATCTTCTCTCTGGACTTCAGCTCCCATGCTTCCTTCATGATGTTGAGATTCCCGCCTCTAGTCCTGACCTTTCCTGTGCTCCATCCAATGACACCTTCTCTGATGTGTCCACAGGACCTCAAACTCCACGTGTCTAATTGTAGGTTGGATTGTGTCCTTCCCCATTCCCTCCGTATATCAAAGCCTTGCCTCCTAGGGGAGCAGTGTTTGGAGATAGGGCCCTAATCAATCTCACTGATGACCTGAAGAGGAAATGAGGCACAGGGTGACATCAGCGGTATATGCACACTGTGGAAGACCATGGGAGAGGAAGGTGGGTAGGTTGCCATTTGCAAGCCATGAGAAGAGGCCTTAGGGAAAAATAGCTTTCACTCAGCATCTTGATCTTGAACTTGGAGCCTCCAAAACAGTAATCAAATAAACTTCTGTTGTTTAAGCTGCAAAGAAAGTGGTATTCTGTTATGATCATCCCAGAAAGCTATTACATGCCTAAGCTTACATCATTGTGTCTTCTTTTAAGCATAGGCTCGTGGTTTGAATAGGTTCATGAGTGTCCATTCTCCCTTAAAGTCCACAGCTAGCCAGTCTCCAAGGCCTGCCGGGTTTGATTTCAGAGCAGCTCACACCTGTGTGCCACCTGGCCAGCTCAGGACTCTGCCATCATTCACCTGGTCTCTTATAACAGCCTCCCACTTGATGCCACGCTCTCACGGCAGCATTACCCCACTGGAGTCCACCCAGTTGGATCACTCACTCTAAAGCTCGGGCATATTTGCAGGTGCCTTCAGCTGGTCCTTCATTAGCTCCCCACTGCCTGTCACTTAGCTAGACACTGAAGCTATCCACAACCTGGCTCCAGCTTACCCATCTGTCTCGGATCTGCTTTTACCTTACCTAGACTTTTATTTAACCTAACAAGAAAGCTACTGCTCCGGGGGAAAGCCTCCCCCTTTATGAAGACTCTCTCATCTAAAATGGCTCTTTTTTCCTTGTTGCCACTCAACATCACTGAGCACTTTCTTCCTCTAATTCCTACAGGAGGTCTTTTTATTGTGCGGAGACCTTCTGACAGCTTCAGGACAGACTGGTAATGCTGTATGTGTGTCTTCCTGTCTCTCTTCAGCTGTAGATCCAGAGGGCCAGTGCCCAGCACAGTATAGGTACATACAGCGCTTCCCCAGCCTTGACTGAATGGGTAGCAAGGCTGGGAAAACAAGCGGCCTTGATAGTCTTAAGCCTTTATCACAAAAGAGTTATGAAACAAAATGAATCACAAGTCTCTATTTATTCTGGAATTTAAGCTCTAGGAATGAGATAAGTAATATTTAAAAAAAATGAAACGGCAGTCAAGAGGCAGAGTGACAGAGGTATTGTCATTGATACCCAGCCACCACTAATCTTCTTCTAGTAGTTTCATCTCTATTGATCACTTCTGAAGAGTGGCCTGAGCTGTCTTAGCTGACCTCCCTATCTGCCCAGGTGATCCCCCGCCCAGCCTTGTTTTTTCCCTTCCTTGCGAATATCCATGGCCGGTTACAAATGGTGTGGAGACTACTCAGGAGTGTACACTATAGGATCTGTTCTGATTGCTCACTTCTGACAACCCCTTCTTACTTTCTTAAAAGGCCTTTGGGAGAGCAGCCAGTGCTCTTGAGCACTGAGCCATCTCTCCAGCCCCAAATCTATACACTTAATACTTAAAATATAAGTTTCAATTTCTTCAAATTGGAAAAAAGAAGTAATGAGAGTTTGTTACATAATAAATAAGCTATTTCTAAAGATGCTAATTCTTTTCACTTAAAAAAAAAAGGTATCAAGGCTCCTGAGGTTAAGACATTGTTTGTTTTGGTCACAGTGAGTAAACATGTTTGCTTTTCCTTTTTTTTTTTTTTTTTGTTTGCTTGGTTTTTCTTTTTCTTCTTCCTATTTAAAAAAACAATATTTTTATACATTATACAAGCACTCTGGTTCTGATATAAACAGCCATGTTTGCTCTGCTTCATTTCTGGGCTCCTGGGGTACATTGTCTCTGTAGAGCTCTGGCTTTCACACTTAATCTCCTGATATTTCTCATTTCCCATGTGTTTTGAGTTTCTTGGACTTCTTTAAAACTTTGTCAGTGCCTGACTGAGAGCCATCTTCTGAAAAGCTGGGCGACTGGATGCATGCAGCTGAAGACAGAATGTGTTCTGGGAAGATGAGACTTTCTAGATTAGCGTCTCCTCATACCATATGGCCGAGTGAGTGATCAGATGCACTTATCTATTGACAGAAAAATAGAGCTTTTCACATAGACTTATCATTATGAAGAATGACATCACCAGAGAATTCAGAAATAGAAACTATCTCTTATTTGGGTTGGAAAAAGACTGGGGGAAAGTTAGACATACCGCCATATGGATAACCTTAATTCTAATTTGCATCTTAATGGAAATGAACCTTCAAATGTCTGTTCCCTTCAGTCCTTGAGACAGTAAGCCTTTTGTGGCTCTCTTTAACTCGGGAAAGCCAGATTTAAGCTATAAGTGGATTTTCTCAAAGTTCACACCATCTAAAAGTATTTGAGATAAAGATATTATACACTGATACGTTAAGCCACATTTATGGGAATCCTTACACCCTGTGCCAGACTACGTGGTTTTCTTCCTAAACAAATGTTTCCCTGACTTTAAAGGTCATTTATATCTTTAAAAGAGAAATCTATTTAAAAAAAAAAGGTTTTCTGGAATCCTGGCATCCAATGAAATCTACTGCATATATCTTCCTTTTCTTTGCAAACATGAATTTTATAACTATCATTATTTTAGTTTTGCAGCATTGATATATCAGGTGTCTTTTCTGTACATCAGGAAGAGTTTTCTTTGTTCATATATGTATATCATCAATTTTTTATTGGTTATAATATCCTACTATGTGCTGCCTGAATGCCCTTTCATTAAATCTCCCCCCCATGGATTGTGATGAGGTATAGGATTTATCGGTCCCAACTATGCCACTGTGGCAGTTAGAAAATCAACAGATGCAGGAAGATTGCTTTGGCCTTCTGCTCCTGCCCTGACACAGGTCATAACCCTGAGAAAGAATTTTCTGGCTCCCCTCTGAAGTACATTATAAAGCCTTCATGTGAGAACTTCCTTCACCACAACTTGAGGAACAAGATGTTCTCATCTCTGAAGATAGGAACACACAGAAGGATGGGAAAGAACTGGCCTTGCTAAGCCCCCCTGGTTTATTACCATTAGAGCATGCCCTCTGTGTCTGACTGTACTTCTCCACAACTATTCACCTCTTCATCAAGAGTAGAATAAACATACAGAGGTTTCTTTGTGTCTTCATTCCAGAGCGCCCCCATGTCACATAAAACTTGTACCTCGAGTTTTAAATGCATTGTTTTCTCTTATTGATCTGACTTTTATTACAGTGCCTCAGCCACAGAACCCCCCCCAAGTTGAATAAGAGCCACAAATCTCCCATGTCAGACAACTGTTGCCAGAGTTGCTGCTCTATGCAATGTTACAACAGTTGTCACTGTATCTGGATATGTGAGTGCCTTTTTAGTCAGTTTCTAACTTTGAAAACTGGTACAGGTCTTTTTAAAGAAGACATTGTATCATATGTTGGAAAGAAAAGCTAGAGCTTTCAGATCTTTAAAAATTATCTAGGGTTTCAATCTTATTCAAGGTATTTTTTAGCAAAGTGAGCTGGGGATATTAGTGTAAAGATAGATAGATGATAGATGATAGATAGATAGATAGATAGAAAGACAGATATTGATGTACAGATAAATAAATTTTAATCTTTGTATTATAGTACCAAATAAACTGAAATGAAAACAATATCAAATTCTGCAAGATAACATTAAAAAATCTTCACAAACTTGAAGTAAGCATATACATACCTTCAGTAGGTGTCGAAAATGCAAATCATTAAAAATCTGCTTAACTGAACTTCATTGTGATTTAAAATATCAGCTCTTCAAAATGTGCACCTGAAGAAAGAAGAAAGAGTTCGTGTGTGAGTAAGGGTGGGGTAGATGTAATCAGAGCTATGTAGGATTAGACAAAGAGAGCAGCGAAGGAAGGGAGGAAGGGAGGGAGGGAGGAAAGAAGGAAGAAGGGAGAAACAAATGTCAGAAAAAGAATGCCATAAAAATATAGTGTTCTTACAAAACTTAATCAAACAATCTGATACATTTAATGAGCAATATCTTAAAGAAGGATTTCACTGTATGAAATCCTTAAAGAAGGATTTCATAAATCTATGAAAGCAGGTTCAACTACACAGTTGTTAGAAAGATGCAAACACTAGGATAACTGAAGAATGAAACATGAACACACACACACACACTCCTGCAAATGGGGAGCTGAGCCCTCAGATTGTACTGTTGGAAATATAAAATGACTCTTCTACAGGGCATATGACTCTATCAGAGCCAATCAGGGAAGATTGTGGATCCTAGTCAGTTCTGAGACACTTGTGAGGAAAAGAACTGTTCTTCTTCCTGTATTTGAAACTGAGAATCATCTCGCTGTTGAATAGAATTGAGATGTTTAACCCAACTACAACAAGTAGAATAACCATCAAAGTGCAATGGTGATATCAGAGCAGTGGAAAAGGCCAAGGGGTACGGGGGATCTTTCCTTCTGGTCAAGGAAATGAAATCTCTGACCTACATAGAGACCTAACATTCAATTGGGCAGGCCGATAGCCTGGCTAAGGGGCCACCCCTACAAAGGCAAGCTCACCCTAAGCCGTACTAAAGAGATGGGAGGAATAATTAGCCCTTTCCTGCAATACAGAATTTCTACCTCCTACCACAGTCTTACAAGCTCTATAAAAAAAGGTCTGTTTTCTTTGCCCACCTTTGTCTCCACTCAAAAAGGCATAGCTTTTCCCATTTCTTCTCTTCTATCTCTTTCTTTAGATGCTGCAGAACTGAGCATGCTCTTTCTGGGACTCTGGGCTTCCTCTCTCTAAAGCTTGCCTCCCCACCATTGGCTGCTCGTCTGCCATATGGATGACCCTCCATGCTGGCTTAACATATTACCTTTTTCCCTCTCTTCTCATTCTTTGAGAAGCTTCCAAGATTTACAGTTTTCCTGCTTTGGGCAGGGAATGAGGGGTTGTTCTTATTGAGGTCTTCTTTTTTAAAGATTTATTCTCATTACTTATTATTTATTTGTGTGTGTGATATCTATGTACCTGTGTGTGAGTGTGTGCATGTGAATGAGGATGACCCAGCTATTCAAAGGCATCAGATCTCCCAGGGGGCAGTTGCAAACTATCTAACCGGGGTGCTGGGCATTGAACTGGGGTCCTCTACAAAAGCAGTACATTTTAACCCCTGAGCCAGCCTGAGATTTTCTTTTAAACTCTAATAAAATTGTTCTCAACCTTCTGTTTCAGTCTGTCATTAAATTACTTTATTATGAGACTAAGAACCCCAAGAGGGAGCCCTGATTTCCCCAGTATCATTGACTCCTGTGGGACTGCCTAACATTTCCAGTCAAAGGTGAGAGCAGGTAAGATTCCCACTGAGCCCCCAAAGGTACTTTCCCTGATGATCGTTGACTACAGTATTTACTTTCCTGTCACTTATAACTGACACAGAGCCCTGTGCGACACCCACTCAGCCACCAAACTGTAAAAATTATCCCATCTACCATGGAGTTTTAGAACAGACTATATGGATGGTATCTGTGCTGTTGTTGAGAAAGAGAGCAGCATGGCGATTGGAAACAGAGCAGTGGCTTCTAGTGGAGTCTGTTTTTGTTCTTCATCACAGTTGTCTCCTGTGACCAGCAGTAATTGAGAGTAGCCATCTACTGTGTGAGCACTTTAACAGGTGTGCAATTGGGCTTGGCAAGTAACTTGGTAAATGAGTAGCCTGGAAGGAGTGTGCTGAGGGTGACCTCCAAAGCCACAAGAAGGCCTTCTGTGGAAGAGGAAGGGTGGACCAGGCAGCTGTGGGACAGTTGTCAGCAACTGACAGGACCATGGCACCTATAGAATACTTTAGTCACACATATTTGCACAGAAGACACTGGGGCATCCAGGAGGGGCCATGCCTCATGATTCAAGATAGTAGCTCGCAAGATGAAATCATCTCCAGAAGCATCTGCCCTTGCTGGGTTTGGGCAGCTTTGTTTCCTTGCTGGACTCCATCAATGTCCAGAACTGGTCGTGGCGGTAGCTCAGTGGGGAAAGTATGCTTAGCAGCCTTAACACAGTCTGTTATGTTTCCCAGGCCTGGAGAAAAAGAAAATGCCCAGTGGACTGTGCCCATTGCTTGGTGAGTATCTTTGCCATTATTAACCTTGAAGAAACCTGAAGTAAGTACTGGTCTCAGCTCTGGTCTCTTCATCTTATGTTGATGTTTTTCCCAACTAAAAATAGTAGCTTCCTGCTTCTCCGAGATCAGGCGCCTTCAACATCAATGTTGAAATATTTACTTCAGTGCCAGGAAAACGAGTCTGTTATGTCTCTGCAATTTGGCTGGCGGAAGCCAAGTTTTCTTGGCAACGCCCCTCATCAGCCTGCAGGAAAGGGTCACCCAGATCTACAAAGGGACAATCGGCAGAGATTGCCTTTCTTCCCCCTCCCTCTTCACATTTAGCTCTGAGCTATGAACATGCTTAAAAGCACTAGTGAGGAGGCCAGTTCTGAATGGTCTTTGTTCTTTGAGATAAGTTCAAAGGTATCAAAAGTCGGCCTCTGAGGCTGGAGGGAAAATGCTTTCTACTCAGCCGCCAAAAGAGTTGAAAGTCTACAGGCTTCCCTGAAATTCAAAGGTAGAAACAAGAAGGAAGCTGAAGATTGTTCCCTGACATTGGAAGATAGAGTTTTCCTTTCTTCTTTTTCTTCGTAGTCTCTGTCTCTGTCTCTGTCTCTGTCTCTCTCTCTCTCTCTCTCTCTCTCTCTCTCTCTCTCTCTCTCTCTCTGCAGGCAAATCAGGTTAATGCAGCTGTGCCTTTGGAACAATTAGACCCACCTAGACAACCAAAAGACAATGCCAAGAAACTGTCCCCAAGAGAGAAACAGTGAGTGTTCTGACCTCGTATGCACTGGTGGGCTTTTTTATAATCTGAGGCCTTTGCATACATGTTTCCCACAGATAAAAACGCAAGCATCTGAACTGCAGGTCTAAGTGTTTTCCTCTCTGCTGCTGGCCCATGCAGCTGGCAAAACATGACCTAGACCTGATGAACCCCTGACATGTCAGTCCTTGGGACAGGGTCAGAAAGACGTCTGGATCTTTAAAAGACACTAATTGTTTAAAGAGTGAAATCATTCCCGGAAACTTAACCCAGCATCATAATTGAACCCAGAATGATACTGTGAGAGTCTCAGAGAGGAAACCTGGGAGTGTGTGTATGTGCGTGTGTGCGCATGTGTAAAGGCCAAAGGTAAACTTGGGATGCCCTCCCTCAGGCGGCCTCCACCTTATTTTTGAGATAGGGTCTCTCATTAGTCTCATTAGTCTGGAGCTTACTGTGTCTTCTAGACTGCATGGTCAGTGAGCCTCCGGGAATCTGCCTGTCTCCATCTCCCAGCACAGGAATTACACGTGAGCACTACCATGTCTAGCTTTTTTCATGGGTACCGGGAATCAAACTCAGATATTCAAGCTTGCACTTTACTGACTGAGCTACTCCCCAACCCACCCCCTTATTTTTTTTTGACTCCTGTTGACAAGGAAGCTAACCCTGCCCTCTAAAACAGAGTGACACAGAAGAGTACTCAGACGAGGTCTCACAAGTCCCATGGCCCCTCAAACTCAATGCTAGCACCTGTGCAAAAACCAAGGCATGACAAATGTATTACTGAGGAGCCACTGGGCATGAGGCCATGGGTCAGTCTCCAAGCAAGCCTCCGGTGTTTATCACCCCAGTCCGTGCATTAGAGTGCGTGATGACACCCTCTGTTGCTAGGCAGTGGGGCTAGGCAACGATTGGAATCATTTGCCGTCTGGGCCAGTCAGGATCTAGGGACTTTGATCCCAATCCGTGTGTTTTATACAGTTTGCAGTATTTGGAGGCTCACAAAGATTATGACCTCATCCATGATCATTTCTCTTTATTTTATATAAAAGAACAACACAATTCAGTATCTAATGACCCCTCTCCCCAATCAGTTGTTTTGTTTTTGTTTTTTAGACAGTGTCTCACAGTTTAACTATGGCTGGAATCTAACTGTGAAACTTATTATTATGTAAACTCAAATTTACAGAGATCCAGCTGCCTCTTCCTCCTGAGTGCTGGGATTAAGGGGGTGTGCCACCATACCCAGCAATATATGGAGCAACCCTCCCCCCTCCCCTCCCCTCCACACCCCACCCCTCACCCCCAATACTCACCATTCTCATAAGTGCATGGATTCCAAATACTGACACCACATTGGCTTCCTTCCCATTTCAAAACAGCATTTGGGTCAAGAATGGATGAAACAAATTGAAGAATAATGGTTTCAGGCTAGTTACTCTATGCTCCAAATGAACAATTAATATATCACTGCTGTCTGATATATATATGTGTGTGTGTGTGTGTGTGTGTGTGTGTGTGTGTGTGTGATCTAAACAAATAACAACATTAAAAAAATCCCCGCGGTTATTCAGTATGCACACAGAACACATTAGTCTCTGGCAACATCTCCAGGAACTAATTGAGTATAAAATACCATGCAGAAATGGAGGTACTCTAGTGGAAATGAAGAAGGATAATGGTTTTACTGGATACAGAGGCGAGCCTCACATCCCGGCGCCCTCCCCTCAGTTCCCTCCTGTGCCTCTTCCTTCCACAGAGACAGCAGGGCACAAGGAGGAAGTCGCCAAGATTTCTAAACAGAGAGCATGATTCACAGATGAATCATGACTGTGCGGCCTGCAGCCCTGTCAGAACTCAGGAGGGAGTAGCTCTCGGGTGGTAATGGCCTCATTACGAATGTTATGGAGGCGGCAGTATGTCTTCTCTGAGAGATAAAGCAGTGTTAGCCACACTTCACAGGGCAAATTAAATTCCTTTGAGCTTATTTACCAACTTGAAGCCGGTGCTATTCTCTATGAGCAGAAGTTTCAAAGGAAGATTATGCTAATAACTCAGCAGAGTGGCTCTCTGGTGTAGCAGGGTGTCTGTTAAGATGATGGCACACCCCATATGCTGTCATGCCTTCTGCATGGCTGGACCATTGACCTGATCGTCTTTGGTTTTGTGTATTCTCTTTGGGAAGGAGAGCGCATTATCAGGTTTAGACCTACCAGCTGTGCAAATCTTGGACTTTCTAACCATCTGTTGTTTGCTAAGTACCTACTATGTACCTGCCTCTATGTTTAGTCAATCTGTATACAAATGTCTCATTTGAAGCCAATAACCATCTCATGAGGTAAGTATATTTTTGCACTATGCAAATTGGCATGCCAAGAAATAAGGCAGGGGCTGGAAAGATGGCTCAGTGGTTAAGAGCACTAGATACTCCTCCAAAGGACCTGGGTTCAGTTCCCAGCACTCACATGACAGCCCACAATTGTCTGTAGCTCCAGTTCCAGGGTATCTGGCACGCTCACACAGACATACATGTAGGCAAAACATCAATGCACATAATGTAAAAATAAATAAATCTTAAAGAAATTAGGATTCCTGCCCAAGTCAAGTAGTAGAAAATGATTAACAACTTGATTCAGCACTTAGGAGGCTGAGGCAAGAGGAGAGTGAGTACAAGATCAGCCTGGGCTTTAAATCAAGGGTTCATACAAGGGGTGGAGGGTGCAGGAAGGAGAAGAGAGGAGACTATGACCCCAGCATTCCTCAACATCACCAGAACCAGGAAGTACAGCTACTTGATCTGTGATCTGTAGCCACAGAAGCATGGCTTCAAGCATGCAGATTGTGATGCGAGCATTCTCTCAGTGTTCACAGGGCACCTGCTGCTCTTCCCATCCATGCTCTTCCCACAGGTCTCTCTTCCTTCTCTTCTCATGAAAAACCTACAACTGAACCTCAGACCATGTACCACACATGGCTAGTAGCTGGATGTCCAATTGACTCTCTGTATCTACAGCAGTGGATTAAAAACGACCCGTGTATGTTCACGTACAGACTCTCTTGCTATTCCCTATACATTGTGGCAATTATTTATACAGCCTTTACACCAGACTTGTTTTTATAGGTAATCTAGACATGATTTACACTGTGTGGGATGGTGTCCATGGATTTTATGCAAATATTAGATCACATGTACAACTGAAGCATCTGAAAATTTTGGTACTGCAGGGGTCCTGGAGCCAATCCTAAATCCATAATGAAGAATGATTATTGCCTTAGTTAGGGTTTCTATTGCTGTGATAAAATACTACGACCAAAAGCAATTTTGGAAAGAAAGTATTTAGTCCAGCTTACCGTTCCATGCCATATTTCATCATCTAAGGACCTCAGGGCAGAAGCGCAAGGCAGGAGCCTGTAGGCAGAAACTGATGCAGGGGCTGTGGAGGAGTCTGCTCACTACCTTGCTCCGTATGACTTTCTTGGACAACTCGGGACTACCTGCCCAGGAACAGCCACAGTGAGCTGGATCCACACATCAGTAGTTAATCAGGAAAGTGCCCCACAGGCTTGCCCACTAGCCAGCTTGTTATGGGGGCATTTTCTCAGTTCTCTTTCTGAATGACTCTAGTTTATGTCAAGCTGACAAAAAACAAAATAAAAAATCCTAGTCGTCACAGCTAATGTTTAACATGCAAGCAAAACTGCCCAATGTCACCAAATGCCTAGTACCCACTTCCTCACTTTTTCTTTGGTCTCTTGATCAAGAGATAATGATCAAGAAAGCAATTTCACTATTTTAGAAGGTTCTAGGTCTGGGATTATTGCCTTCAGGGAGAATATAACCAAAAGCTAACATGCATTTTGAGATTAATACTCTGATTACTACATAGAGAGAGCCACACTGGTTCTCAATGTCATAGCCAGTTAAGTCCACCTATACTTTTCTTATTATAGCAGATAACTCTGTCCACCATGGGAGGGGTAGCGAAGATTATGCAACTATGAGTTCAACCTTTCACGAGATTGGAATCTGTTTAACTTTTCTTCACATTATTGTCTCCTAGTTTTGCTTGGCATGTAGTCTACAAGAAACTACTGCTCATTCAGGAAGAACAACAACAACAAAAAAAGTCGAGGCCAGGGGTCTCCAAGGCACAGGAGCAAGTCTCAGACTTTGCCACCAAAATGTTTCAGTGGGAAAGGGACTTGGAGGACCTCTGGTGCTCCCTAGCCCACGAGCATAGCCAAACTGGAGAGCTTCAAGTTCAGGGGAAAGACACTCTCTCAAAACAAATAATCAAAGTGGGGAGTGATCCAGCACCAACCTCTGGCTCTTCATGGGCACCTGCAAATACATATATACATACGTGCCTGGCTACACTCATACCAGTCCACACGTTTCAATATAAACCAGTTGTTTACATTGTTTATGACTTAGAGAAAAAGTGTCAGCATGCTACAAACGAGGTTTTGAATGTCCTCGGTTCTTGCAAATATAGTGAACAATAGGGGAAGCATTGAGGCAACTGACAGGGAGGGTGAGATGATTGCAAATAAACAGAAGATCAAGGTGCTGAGAAAAAGTTGCAAGGATAAAGTGATTTCTGCACAAGCATGAGGATGACTTCAGCTCCCCAGCACCCAGGAAAAAGCTGGGCATGGCCGTGTACGTTAGTAACCTCAGCTCTGAGAGGCAGAGATAGTTGAATTCTGGGGGCTCACTGACTGGACAATCCAACCAAAATAGTCACCTCCAGATTCATGAGAACCCCTGTCTCAAAAATGTAAAGTGGGAAAGTAATTGAAAAAGACACACCCCAATGACTGTCAACCTTTGACCTCTACATGAGCCCATCAAGTTCACCAGGACACACATGCTCTCTCTCTCTCTCCCTTTCTCTCCCCAGTTTAAACAAGATTGCATAAATACGTATGCCTCACACCCTAGCTGTGTGGACACCAGAACCATTTGTAGACAGGAGTCCTTGCCACGGGGCTGTGATCTATACCATGTAAGGTCACTGAAGCAACTAGGAGTTAGACCTAAAGTTTACCTATAAGCCCCACCAGCCCAAAGACCAGGTAACTTCCTGGGATTCTGGGATTTGTAGTTCTTGAAAAATAACAACAAAGCCTCATGGGAAAGTATGGTAGACCTTGAGCTTTGCCCATATAAGCCCTGACAGCATGTGCCTCAGGGACACTCGCTTGGAAAGTTTCTAGTTGATGGTCCTGACCTAATCCCGTCTTGGTCAGTATTTAATAATTTAATAAAAGCTTGCTTAAGTTTGGCCAACATGGCGGAGCTGGTCTTTCTGGTGAATCTTAGATTGGCACTAGGTACTGGCTTTCTTTCGCCCTTTGTCCTCCCCTCTCACTTGAGCAGCGTTAACCTGTGGTGGACTGTGCTGTTCCAACTGGATGTCTGAGAAGAATCTGCTTTAAACTGAAAACTCAACTCGGGGGGGAAGCGGTTCTCAGCTCAGGTGTCAAGGACAAATAGGCATGTCTCAAGGATGTTTAGGAACTGTATAAAATTAGGTTTTGCTCATTAAGAGAATGTCCAAGTGTGAGGATGAGAATAGCTTCCTTTAACTACGTCCCTGGCACATTAGAGCCAGGTCAAAATTCTCACCATCTCACAGTCTTCCATAAACTAATTGTGTCAGTCGGCTTTCTGTTACTGTAACAAAGTGCCAGAGACAACTTAAAAAGAAGAAATGTTTGTTCAGTCTCTTGGTCTCAGAGAGCCCAGTTCATGACTGGTTAGCCATTGGTTCTGTGAGGCAGCAGGTCCTGGCAGGAATGCCCATGTGCTACTGGTCGGAACACAATATTGTGCTGATACCATGGTAAACAGTATGGAGATAACTCACAAAACTGGAAATAAGAATCACCCATGATCCAGCAATCCCAAAAAGGCTGGAAAATGAAGTCCTGAAGAGATGTTTGTATGCCTATGCTTGTAGCAACAGTATTCATAATAGCAAAATAAACAAATAAATAAATAAAAGAACCCAAATTCACTCTCTGGATAGATGAATAAATAAAAATTTATAGCAATGTACTGCCTACATGTTATAGAGTGTTATTTTGCCTTTAAAAGGAAAGACATTCTGACACATGGTTCCACACCAATGAATCCTGAGAATCTGCTACTGAATGAAGTAAGTCAGTAATAAAAAGTCAAGTATTCAATGAGAGTCATCAGACAGAAATTGCAGTAGATGACAGAGGAGTGATTGACAGGAATTAGAAGCAATGGGTGGTGTTCAATGACTACAGAGTTTCAGTTTTGCAAGACGAAGAAAGCTCTGGAGGCGGGTTTCACAAGACTGTCCATGTATGAAACACTACTATCAAGACAGTAGCTTTTATGTTATGCACATTTTATCATACCCTTAAAATTCTTCATTTAAAATGCACCTAGAGGCCCATGGACATGGGTGGCCATGATGCCTCACCCAGAATATACCCTCAGTGGAAAAGCCAGTTAAGATGATGAAGTATTGGGAAGCTATAGGCCATCCCCAAACCCTATGTCTCCCTCATTCCCCCCCCCCCCCCACTATTCCCCTCCTCTATTTTCATTCCTCCTGTATTTTACTATTATACTTTATTGGGAATGCTACTGAAAGAAGTACTTGGATAGAAGCAGAATAAGAAAGGATTGAGGGGGGATCTAGAGTCAGGGAGATGAGTGTGAGGCCTGTTCTACAGGAGAAATTTTATGCGTGCTTTGAAATGACCAAAACCCCTATCTAGGAAAGTCATGGGCTGTAGGGGAGACACTATTAATGC